AAAGTATCCAAACTAATGCTAACAACAATTTGAGCAGTTGAATGGATTATTTTGATATCGGAAGCTAATGTTTTGCACACATGGCACAAGTCGAAAAATGAAGAAACGTCACATAAAATAAGCCTTAAATCGTCCATACATCCAATTCTATATTAGACTTTGACACCCACATTAACTATAAAGTTGTGAAATATATGTATAATATATACTCCGGACTTAAGCTCTATTTGAAGTAGTAACTTGCATACATAGGTTTCAGCTTTCTCTTTCAACAAAACAAAAAATTATGTATACATTGATCTCCACTTAAGTAGGTATGTTACTGGAAAAAAGGCTGGGGAGCGATATTTGAGATGATGTTAAGTTGGAAGATTTGTGTTATAATTCAACACCACTAACAATACCACAAATCGTTGCACTCATTTGCATACAAATAGCGTTTATAGAAATACTAAATGCACTCTGCACTTTTGACTTTTATAATTGGGGAATGTTTTTCCTCTGCTCACTAATTAATTAATTGCGAAATGCCGATGAGGTGACACACAGAGAACTGTAATCTGTCTCTGCCTTGTCGCTGCTACAACGGAACTGATGAAAGCATGGAAAAATTTACACGGCTCAGGTAGTTGTGCTAACCTGAGCTATGCACAAACTTTATTGTGCATATGTATGTGTATACAGTGGTAATGCAGTTGGTATGTTATACCTCACAAAACAAGGGCCATAGGAGTTTCTACCAAAGTTTCGTTGGTGAATTAGACAAGCACTTCACGTAATCTCACTCACTGAATGTACTGCAGGTATTCCACGTACCGATACGATGAGTAAAATACCAGTCCCACTTTCAACCAACTCGCCATTAACAGTCAACAGAAGAAACCAAAGAACGAGCGAAGGAACGACGATGGACACTCCATTTCATTCCAATTGAAATTCCGATCCAACAACGTCCAATGCACAATAGTGACGGTGAAGAAGGCATAAGAAGAAGAAGTAGCACAGGTTTTCAGGTTGAGATTAGTCGTCTCTTCTTCTATCCTCTCGGATACGGCGACCCAAACCCGTTTTGATTTCGAGGCCTATGCTAAAGTTGATGATGCGACTTAAGAAATCTCTGAAAGATGTGAGCAAGGATTTTGTTGCCCAGTCTTTGTTGGCGTATGTATTTATGTGTGAGTGAGAATGATGGTGCTGCTTCTGCAATGTAATTTCTGTGTGTGTGTGCATATTATGCAGTAATAATTCTTTTCTTCAAGAAAGCACCAACCACCTTCTCAGGTGTATTCCCTTCAATATGATGATGATGATGGGATTACATTTCAGTTCTCGAGTCACCGAAAGCTTGGTTGGTTCGTGGCACAGGTGTGTTGTCTTGTCTCCTTTATTATACACACATACATACATATATGCCCGGTGCGTATAAACTGATATGCACGTAACTTGACATATACCCAAGTATCGGCTTGGCAAACTCGGTTCATTTTATGCTAACTACTATATAGTATAAGCTGCGATAGTAGGTTTGAGCATAGATGGGCGGTGTCTGTGGTGTCCGGCAAAATTTTTGGTGTCCGTTGCCAAAGGTGCCTGGTGTCCAGTGTCAGCAAAAATCTTTGGTATCCGGTGTTCGGCAAAATATTTTTTTGTCAAATGTCCGACAAATTTTTTTGTCCGGTGTCCGGCAAAATATTTAGTGTCTGGTCTCCGGACACCGCCCATCTATGCATTTGAAAATTGAGGCACATTTGTATTTACTAGAGTGACTGACTTCTCTCTGTAAATTGAGGTTCTGAGAGTTCTGGAGGTGGGATGGCTCACAGAAATCCCTCATCATCTCTCTCTAGTCAAACTATATGAATCTACGCGAGCCTAATGATGAAACGACAATGAATATCGTTATATGCAGTTGGGATATAAAGTGTAGTATTCAGCACTTGTAAAATCCATGCAGGAACGAGGGGCGAATGCATGATGGAGTTTACGCTGCAGGTGAAATTCGTATGAAAGGTTTACTCCATTCTATTGTGGGAGCATAGCATTCGACAAAGAATTATAATGACTCGCTGGACTTTTTTGTTTGTTTTTTAGGGCCGAACCTCGAGCACTGCCAACCTGGAATACGCTGCTAGTTGTTGTTGGTGGTGGTTATAGTAAATAACCCCCATGAACGAACAGGTAACAAACATTCCACCTGCTCTCGTTCCCCAACTCTCATACCCGACACTCACCTGTAATCGTCAACAAGGATTTACTACATGCTTGGGGCTTTTTAACAAAATTAAGCCTTCCCGCGTACAATGGGAATCATTTGTACAAAAATTGTTTAAAACAGTCTTCTCCAGATATACCAAACACCTTTCTTTTAAAAACTTTTTAATTGAGTTCTGGTGAAAGCTGTCTCAATATAGCAAGATTTGTCCCAAATTCTGAAAATCCATTTGTGTTAAATGTCTGTAATCAGTAAAACATTAAACACCAGCAAAGCTAGTATGCTGAAGACCATATCTAGACGGTCCATTTTACATATATCCATGATTCAAATGACTTTACATTATGCATACTAAATCACTTTTATACTGTACAGTTCCTAAATAATCTTGATCATATGTCAAATGTTTCTAGGCCTGCATTCAAATTACCCAAATTCATGAAATCACGAACGCCAAGCAAGGTTCAGAGGGAATATGTACTACTACGATAATGGCGCATACTTATTCACGACCACGAGCAGGGTCTGGATACTAGAAATATCATGGATGAATACATTAACGTATGTAATATCACAAAGTTGAGTATTTTAATATTTTAATTAATCACATTCTTGAGGCTCAAGTTGATAAAAATACATTTAGCTCCGGAGCACATCCCTGGAAATGCTAGGAGCGAGAAGCGGCGATGGTTTTGGGAGTGCAGAAGAAGTGAATGAAAAAGCTCCTTTGTTGAGAATTCGAGCGAGAGACTGTTGTTCGATCTATGATCGAGCAACTCAAACTCAACCCTTTTTCCCAGCGTCCGCTCATTCTGCTGCTCTCATGCAACAGTTCGCAGAACTGTCCCCGCCTCCACTCATACGCCTTGGCCACCCATCGGATATTCCTTTCTTAGCCGCAGCTTCTGCTTTCACCCTTGGAAAAATGCTCCATACTCATCTCCCACGCTATGCAAACCTCGAGGAGAAAGTCAAAATTCTCCCATTGTATTGCTTTCCCTCGTCTCCTCCGTGCCTTTTTACGAACGTGAATCTTGGAAGGATGGATTGAAGCAGGTTTGTTTACTTGCTTTCTCTCAACTGCCTAAATAGCAACCAGATAGCAAGTTTATTACTTGGTTACACGAGAAAGGATGCCTCACGACTAAAGTGCTCTTTATCTTAAAAGCACACACAACATGGTCAATTTCCTTTCACTTTCGCTCATAGACCGGAGACCGGGCATTGACTACCATCCACATCACTTACTTAATTCACCTTTGAAGTAAGTGAGACGCAGGAGAAAGTACTGCTTTCAATAAACTCTGAGGAGGTGAAGGAATTACTCTACGAAGAGTATATTAAAGCTGTTTTTTTACTCGTGGGAAGCAAAAAATAAGAGTCTTGCTCTGAAATAAATAGGGAACGATTAATCTCCTTGCTGCTTTAACTTGGGAAAAATAATCCAACTTATAAAGGGAGCCAATTTCCTGCCCAATTCCAACTTCGTTAGGATGTTATTTAATCGTCTTACTCCTCGTAAACTCATGTTATCAAAAATACCCTTCGGATGGAGGATTAAAATCAAATTGCTTCGGAATGACTCCAGATCAAACCGTGTTTGACACATTGGATTCGCTTAGCTGGAGTGAAAGCAAGTCACACCCAGTTATTTATTCAACTGTGGTCTGAGGAATGGCTTGACTATTCCATGCCTAGTACTTCTATATCTACAAGTATACGTACGAATGTGCACACAAAACGAGGAGGCCAGCAGCCAAGCAAATGATTCGGATCTGAAACAAATCCCTGAAATGAGTTTAAATGACACCCCTGGGTTGGAGGTGAGCGATCTGCATTCCAAATTGGTTGGATTCCACAAGGTTGCCCTCCATCCTGCATCTTTACAAGACAGAAGCCGAGCGTTTGTGCTATCAGAGTTGTTGGCAAAGTAAATATGACGGAACATGAAAGTAGCGTGACAAACTGAGTCATATTGGAGAAAGCAAAACCCAGTTGGGAAATCACGAGTCCCACAGCATCTGCTTCAACCATTAGCCACCGTGTATGCTATGCAACGACATGCTACACACGTCGGCAGGTGGACTGAAATCTTGGGGCAAACAACTACCAGCAGATTTTCTCTGCAGTACAGGGCGTCAAATTCGTGAGCAATAATATTGGTTCTATTTCGGAATTGTCCTGCCCATTGTAAACATGTGGTGATAAATGGAGAAATGTGGTGTTGCACGAATAAGTTACACGACAAAGATCACCGCCAAAGGAATAGTGACGAATTTACACTTAAAAACATACTGATACTCCAAAATAGACATATGTAGGTGAATTGTAAGCCTATATACTGCTCATAAATGCAGGTCTGCTGGCGATACAACGTGTACATATAACGTAACACTGCTATATCAATTATTAACTACAAATATATCACAATAGAAAATGATTAATGGTTCATACTTTGTCTTCGAAGCAGAGTTTAGCAGGCCCAATCACAATGTGCCGCAAAAACAACTTTCTCTAACTAACTCATTTTTTTCTTATCTGACAACGTTGGATTGTAGCATTTCTGAGGGGTCGGGAACAACAGAGAAAAATATATAAAATGAAATGTGCTCAGACATTTGCACTTTTATGAGATTCTGTCACTCTGCTCTTCCTCCACTCAAAAAGAGGCTCGACGTATTTCGCTTGTGCAAATACATGTGAACATAAATTAGCCTGGTTCGGTTCGTATTTGTTGACAAACTTTGCGCATCATGCTCGTATCAGTTTTGAACAAAAAATTACATACCGAGCTTGTTTCCGCTTCTTCTTTTTACTCGAAGACATATCGTTCTTGATCTTATGCACTGGAAATACAGGGAAAAAAATATATAAATATTACCAAAATCGATTTATTCAATTAGTTGGAAATAATTGTTAATAAGGGATATAAATTCTTACCTGGTGGATGTGCGATATGACTTCTGTATGTGTAGCATCTTCCAATGAACGCCCATTCACTTCCAAAATCTCATCACCAACCTCGAGATCTGCTTTGTCGGCAGGTGAACCTTTGAAATAATTATATCAAAATCAGATTGAATGAATCGTTCAATACGAACTCTTGAAACTGGGGTATTTTGCGAACACAAATACTTTAGAGGAAATAGCAGGAGGAATAAAGTTGCAACAAAGTAGAATCGTAGGTTGAGTTGATTGCATAAAAATCTCTAAAAATCTAAGAATACGAGAAGCAAATCTAGGAATTTTAGATTTGTATCCCTTTGTCAGCAGAAAAAAAAACTATTCTATGCGCGACATCAAAGGTTTACAGCCAAATTCACTTTCAATTCCCACTTTGAGACTCCTTGCACAATGCACTCTTCGTGGTCCATAACATAAAATCAAATAAACAAAGAAGCAAGCAAACAACATTCGGCGAGAAAGTGACGAAATGTGAGTAAAAAAGCACAGCATATAAAAACTTGCGAGGAATGGTAACCAATGAGAAAGACGTGGTCGCAAAATCACAAAGAGCAGCAGCTAAGGACACATACGGCTGCATTACCTTTCTCCGGCCTAACCAACTATCTTTCTCTCTCATCTTTATTGTTATTAGTTTTATGTCGGGAGTGAAATTCATCCCGTGTATCAAATACAGTATAACCTGCTACCCCACACCCGCCCCATCCATCCATGTGTCATACATCAAAGAAAATAAGAATCCAATGACATCCTTCCTTTATTTGTTATCCCTGCATATTTCATCCACGCATTCTCATTTTTCCCGTAATTTTTGCATAATTTTCTTGTGGAGGATCTAACAAAACTGGAGAAATATAAGCATTCTTTCTTACCCATAACAATTTTTTTTCACAATATAAGATCCGGTATTTCATTTTTGCAGCATATTTAAAGAAACATGAATTTGGGGTGTACGTTCGTACCAAGCAAGTTCTCTCTTCTTCCTCAAGATAAAATTACGACTGATAATAAAGAGGAATAGCGTAGGCGGTGGGAAAAGGTAAAATTAAATCCATGCTTGGTTTACTTAAACGTTGCGATAAGGTGAACCACGTTCCCACGACACATGTCCGTCTTTTCTTCCTCATAGCTTACTCAAAATAAACTCATTCTCGGTAATGTGAAAGATGGTCCTGCTGTTTCGTTGCTGCTCTTGTTACCTGTCTCACATTCAAGTTTATCGAAACTCATAATTCAGATTTTATCGAGGGTTCATGTCCTTTAATCTTTATCAAGGAAGGAGACAAGTAAATTTTTAAGTGCTTCTCCCCACAGCTGCAAATGATTATTATTTTCATCTCACGATGATGATAAGCAAACCGGATGAGGTTGAGTGAGGAGAAAGAAGATGTCAACCCATAACAATCCAGGGAATACGGCTATGTACATACATATCTATGTGCATACCTACGTGTTATGTGCAGATATATTTCCATGTGTATACACGGGACGTGAAAAAATCTCATTTTGTGTTGGGTGAGGCTTGAATGGGATTTTAAACAGGAAAGACGAGCGTCAGGAAAAGTTGCCCTTTGGGGTTTTACAGATTTTTATGTAGATTGAAGTCACTCACTTCAACATGTACTCCAGCCGCCGTCGAATTGGAGAATTTCACCTTCAGCCAGCCATACATAAATACTTGTCCATTTATTCTCCTTCTCCATGGATTGACGACGACACGTTTCCCACCATGACACTTTCTCCCTCGACTGTAAAATGTCACTAAACTTTACCTTCTTCTTCGTCTCCTCAAAACTAAATTCGCACACAAAGTGTACTTGCACAGTTCGCCTCCAGTGCTGCAATCAAGGTTGTCTATACGTGCAGGATGATGCATGTTTACTAGATCAATTTACATCACACGGAAAGTGGTTGTGGCCTCGATGTATTCATTTGATTGTCTCGTTTTCGAAATATACGATCCCTGTAGCCCTAGCCAAAAGCTCCATAAGAGACCATTGACCATCCTAAGGCCCAATTATTGTAAATTAGCCCAAAATTTTAAAAATACACGTGGTGAATTGATATACGTACGTATGGGTATGCTGTATTAATCGGACCCTTTATTTTGACTGACAACTGTGCGCACTGCATTAAATATTAATTTCTAATCAAGATAAGTTCTATGAAACAAATTTGTATGGCAGTTAACTTTAACTATTTACCTTGGCTAACTTAAACAGTAAATACTACGCAATCCATTTGTTCAAATGAGCTCGATTGTGTGAGTTGTGACTATTTAACCAACAGCCATTTTCAGAGTGGAAACTTTACTCAACTTTTACCCAGCAAACACTAGACTTTAGCATTGTGGAAAGGAAAGTTATTCTCTCAATCGCGTGGATATTCTGCTCTCTTGCAGACTACGAACCAGTTGGCTCTCTTGTACCCTTGCACTGTGAGGTCGAGACAATTAACTAGATAAAGAGGATAAAATTTGTAAGAGAAAAAAGTTTTCTAGGAAATAAGTGAGCTTGGAACAATATGAACCAGATATGGACATACGTTGTGATTATTATGAAACCACAATACATCATACTTGGCAAAATCAACAATCAAGTTTTGAAATCCTAAGACCCTGCATATACGATATATATTTCAAATTCTGAGCGTATACATAGTTTCTCAATGTGTGCAGTATGACAAAGCGCAAGACGCTGCGACGGATGGACGGAGAATGTGAATGTGGATGATGCAGCCCCATAGGCACCTCAGCTCGTTAGTGTTTGGATAAACGAGCAACCAAGTCGTCTGGAGGAAAACTTGGATATCTTTCTCTCCACAAAGCACAATAATGAAGTACAGGAATTTGCCGATGGCGATTTCATTCCCTTCGTTTCCACTCGCTTTCTCCGTACTGTTCATTTCAGGCCAGAGGCATCATGGTCTAGTCGGACGTGGTGTTGGTGCAACACTGGTCACGAAACTTGTAAAGAAAGATCCGATTTAGTTAATTTGCAAGTTTTTAGTAAGTAATGAAAAATCAAGCAGATTTTTACCATCCGCTTATCTAGATATGTTCAGACTTTCATAATACCTGGTGAAAGTCAATGCACCCTCAAAGATGTCCAGAAATCTAAAGTAGGTTATGCCCAACAAACCGGGAATAATTCTACTCTAACCTCAAACTTTTGGTAGCATGAAGACCTGAATAGGTAGCAAACTGCTATTATATTATGCCCTCTTTGCGGCACTTTTCTTTTATTCCTGGTTGAGCACTCTGCTAATAAGTCTGGTGCTTTTCTTTCGGCCCAACCCAGCAAAAAAATTTCTTACGTGACACCATTAAAAGAAATGTTGAAAATACATAGTTTTGAAATATATGAATATAATTCAGGGTGCACATTTAGTTTGGAAATACGCGCAAACGCGACAAAATACATATTTTGATATGGTGGGTGACATTTATTTAAGCGAATATTTGGTTCCTAATGAGTTTTAAAAGTAAGTCAGCTCAGCAATGTTCAAGTACTCAGTGAGATGAGAGGCTTAATAACCTTTTGCCAAGCGGGGAGAAAAGACAAGTGAGATCAAAGGGGGAAATTATACCTCCTGACACCCATTGGAGCGTAGCATTCAAACCTTCTGAGATTTGAGAGATGAGACTGAATGCAAATGAAATTAATCATCTCCAATGGGAGAAAGTTGGACAAAGACGGAAAGCCATCATTAGAAGAACCTCCCTTCGACTCAGCGGACAACAAACTAACAAACATTCTTCTCGGGCAGAGAATGGGAGCAAGTCGAGCTGCACATACAACAGGAGGATGATTCTCCTCTCGCCGGCAGCAGCATGGCCTTTGTTAGCAGAAATAAGATGATGAAGGTAGTTAGCGGCAGGGATGCAAGGAGTGTAAACAACGTCATACCAACAAAATCTATACACCAACTTTCCCATGATGATTATATTGCTTTCACCAGTCAGAGAGCTACCCACAAAGGTCTGCCTCCTCCTCCCATGGAAAATTATTTCTGACGCTTCATCTTAATAAAAATGGTGCACTTGCCGATCCGCAACCTCATGATCCACATTTAGCAGTAGTAACAGTTATTTATGTTTGTGCATATATGTATTGCTCCTCTTGCCATAGGTGTTTGCGTGCTAAGTAACAACGCCATTTTACATTATGTCAGGTGCCAATCATGCTCCATTACGTGTTCCAGCTTGTAGACAAACAATCTTCTAAAAGCCCCACGACGGATGACCCAAAGCAAGGAAGGAAGGATCCTTGCGAACCGTTGCTCGTGCTCCTTTGGTGAGAGGAGGATGAAAGATGATCTTTCTCCACACAAACGGCAGGAATTGTTGGTGGAGTTTTTGTCTGTGTAAACTTTTTGCCTACCACCCACGAGGACACCGTGTACAAGTTATCCCAGGATTAAATATGCATTAAGCCTTATCCATACGCACACATGAACCCATATTTAATATCGTGACCTGCTCCTGTTATGGATGATGTATCGGGTGGAAGTACTTGGCTAATCAAAGTATTTCCTTACATAATGCACAAATATAAACCATTAAGGAAATTAGAATAATCATAGTTTGTAGCAAACCAACTCGTGTACATATTTGGTACGACTCTTCGTGCAATGATTCGAGGTGGTGTAAAGTTATGGGACATTTTATTCCAGCGAGTCAACTAGCCATTTTTCAGTGCAATTTCGTTCCCAGAATGGCAATAAGAGTAGAATGAGGATATCTTGTGTGAAAGAAAGTAAGTAGATGAACGAGGGATGAGAATAAAGCGTGTGGGATGGATTGAGCTCGCAGGAGGAGCAGGAGATAAGCAGCCGCCGAGCGAGCGAGTTCTTTTGCTTCTTCATAGAATTGCTTGCTTCAGGACAAAGTCGTATCATCATCGCATCTGAATTCATTCACAAGGACCCTCATACATTTTCTATGTATATTCCGTTTGTGACTGGACTCCGGGATAAAGTGAGAGTCGGAGGAGGAACTACATCTCTTTCAACTCTTCATTCCGCACAATTCGCAACCCCAAAATTCCAACCAAATCCAATAGTGCTCTCATCGCTGTGTGCTTTCTCTCTCTCACTTTCAACTCTGGACAGCTACTATCCAATCCAACACACACTGCTGGATAATGTAACGACGTAACCACAAAAACTCCGATATCAACCACCGCAAACCAGGCAGAGCAGAGCAGAGCAGGCTAGGAGACAAAAGAGAGCAATGGACAACTCGGATATGTAAATTTTTACATCTGACAAAATTGACACAGTTCTGGCGTCAATAATTCAAGCGTCAGCTACATCGACGATAGCGTCTTAATTTTGCAACATATATGAATTTGAATTCCCCGAGTTTATAACCTTTTCAAGTGAAGTGAACAAAATGTACATGAACTATTTATGTATTTATATGACAGTTCAAGCCTGGAGAGGGTAAAGGAAACTGTATGAAATATCTAATATGCTTTCCTTCGAAGCACAAAGAAATCACAGTCACATCCTTCCTCAGACATTAATAAATGTTATATAAATACAAGGGTCCGGACATATTTGGATGTTTTGATAGGTTGCTTTCTCTGTTTCTCTCGTCCGAAGAGGAAAATTCCCTGGCAAAAGTAAGTCCATAGTGAGTCCACAATGCTGTATGTACAATGCCATCCAACTATATTAGGCCGTCGAAAGGCTCTTTACAACAACGAGATAAAACACTTGAATGCAACTATACACGTAAATATATAGCTGCGTTCATGGCGTTATTATTTGAGAGTAACGGAAATACTGTCAACCTCTCACTCGGCCCGGACCCAGACGGGTTTGACATTTTGGAAGAACTCCTGAAATTGAGCAGTCTCACACTCTCCAATCAAATTGCCAACAAGGAGCCTTATCTGATACGGGTTGTTCGGGTATCGGGTTGCATTCGGAGAAATGTGCTCCACATCTCTCCCCACACACATTTTTGTCGTTGTTGGCTGGAGGTTGACACAAGTCGTAATGGAAAATCATATCAACCCGAGTACCAGCATGATTGACGTTCTACATCCATTTGTCCATTTCACAATACGTTCATTTAGACAGGTTGGAATACAAAGTTGTAAAATAAATGAAATCGTCCCAGTTTTTACAACAGTGTAGATTATTTCATTTCACTCTGCAAAACTTTTCCCTTTGAGCACGGATTCGCGGAAATACAATGCAAGGATCAATAATCATCCTCTTTTAGTATTATTTCAGACTTTCTATACTTCATGAAAGGAATACATGCAAACGCTGAGACTCTCTTTTATGCTCATAAATATTTAACCCAATTATATGAAAATTTCAATTCCTTATTAAAATTTGATAAAGGAAGTGTTAATTAATTCTTCAAAAGGATGTGGGATATTAAATCTTCATACTCTTTAATTAATTGATACTGATTTCCATGTTAGATACACTTTGGTTCTAATTAAATTTTGCCCCGAGAAATCTCATGACTTGCTGTATTGCAAGAAAACGATGCGAAAGTGATTACTTATTATGATCTTCGTAATTCAAGTATTGCTTTGTATCCCGAAAATTACGACTTTGAGATTACGACGACATAAGCATTACCTTTCTCGCAAATTCCGCTTCACACGGGAAATCAGAATGTAGTTGATCCAAGGCTTTAATAATTTTAAGGACCCGCACCACCAAGCACTGTAGCAAATAGTGTCTCGTCGGGTGGTTCAGTGCTATTAAATATTCAGCTGCAGACTCCACTCGGCAGGATTATGTACATGCATATGTATGTACAAGCCAAGATGAAGGACAACAATTTCTTGGAGTCGAGGAAGACGATGAATAAATTGATGTTTCCAAGTTGTTCGCTTGACTCGTGTCAACATGGCCATAAGACGAAAATATGTTTTATGTGGATCATCCCTCACAATTATGTACATCCAACCACAACTGCAGAGCATGGAAGGAGCTTCCCACAGCAGCGGGTAAAATATTGCTGCAATATTCCTTGCCAAAATCTTCATCTATTTAATGCTCACTTACCGCAGGAGCTGCGAACGAACGAACGAAACGAGGGAGCCTGTCTTCACTCGACGAGAAACGGAAACCCGTACAAACAACTGGTTTCACTCGTGTTTAATTCTATCTCTCTCCTGCAAAACCTATGATTCCATTCTGTTCTATCCCAGAAACAGGAAGACCCATCAGGAGCACAAATGCAATTTTAAATCGTCCTCGTGTATAGATTTCCTCCACAACACGCAGCGGTAGTGGTTCGCAAGAGAATTAGGAAATTAATTTGAAAACAGAGAGCAGCGTGGAGTTACTTCTGTTCAAACAGTGGTTAGTGAAAGTCCACACACACACTGGTCCCATGTTTATTTTTCTCCTCCATCACTTTCTCCCTCTCTCCAGAAGGAGGAATGTGTGAATGTGTGTTTTGAGAGTCCATTATGAAACATGCAATATTTTAAGGTCTTTTAACCTCGCTGGTCGTCTTGCATTTGGCCAACTATTTGTCCCGCATACAAAGTGTAATGGGATTTTATGAGCCATATTATTAGAATAATGCAGCCGAGGTCGTGGGCCAGAGAAGCGCAATCAGTATGCGGAAGGGTACTAATCGTAGGCAGAGGATGTGAGAATTATTAAGGGATGTGCCGCGGAGGAGAGAGGACGAGCACGCCGCTTTCTCCTGGTGATAAATGTGGCGGGGGAAAGGCGTGGAGGAGGACGGAGAAAACCACGAAAGCTCAACTCAACTTTATGTCTCTTGCTTATCTTCATTTCATAAATAAATGACTGGGACCACACCTCGTACATCCCTCATCTCCTTAAATATTGATCTCATCACACTTTCTCACAACTTGTGCCATTGAATAGTTTTAATGTTCATTCCTCTAACTTTATGCTAATCCAGATAAATTAATGTAGGGGAAACTCTGACTGCCTATCCTACACTCAAGATTAGCTTATGAATGCAATTTCTAACCCCATATAGAAAAATTCTCGAATTATTCATGGTAAGTCTATTGAAATGTGCAGTTAACTATCACTATCGCTTAAGTAATTTTAAGCATACTTAATCGATCAAAACATACTTTTCTTACTTTTCTAGAAAAAAATAAAGTGAAAAAAAAATTTGTCAGTGCAATTCATTAAATGCGACATTGATATTCGCTCCCTTCGCAGAACGCAACTGGACACAATGCAAACAAGAGAACATTGCTTTTGAATGTGTCGGTGGAAACTAATTTGCAGAGTTGAAAAGCAGAGGCGGCCTGGCTTTTCTCCCCAGTTCTCCATTTGGCTAGTTTTCTTTGATATACGTCCTGTGTTCCCATCCGCCCGTCCCCACAGAAAGTAATCGCTCGGATACATTTTCATGCAGAGAGATCACACTCACAATCATCCTTCCCATCCACTCTCTCCTCTCCTCGGGTACGACAAAATTCATCTTTTTTTTACAAAAAATGCTGTTTCAGCATTTTTCTCCTCCAAAAGACTCCAACTGGCGTACTAAATATGCAAAAGGATAAAAGGGTGAATCCTGACGGGTGCTTGGTCCAAGTTACAAAGAAATGCGATGAGGGTTCATTTCAACATTTCTAAATTCAAGTGGTTTAGCTAATAAAAGTCACTCGGAAGTAGGGATTCAAAGTGCGAGAACGATTTGGTTCATTGTGCTCGTCGAGAATTGCAAATCAATGCGGATAGGAGACGTATATATGTATGCAGCATGCATAAATATATGTACATACATCATATTATTGAACACTTGAGTTTTATGGTTCGCCCTTTACCAGATGTCAAGTCAGCTTTTTCTTTAATCTGCGTATCCCGGGCACAATCTTGCTTAAAAAATCCATAATCGTGGAAAGTATGTAACTCACTTATTTTACATTTTGGATTTTAAACGTCCGTATCAGCGGAATGGAAACATTGGCAGATTCAGTATTCAGAAAATTCAGAATTGAGTTTGACAAACCAGAAGAAGGAAAAGGTAACTACTAAAATAAGACAAATTGCCTCTCAACATGGATGACTACAAGTTCCCTAAACAAAAACCAATTTAGTTCAATCTGATCTCACGGGATTCTCTATTTTCTGTCCAAAAGACACTTTCAACTGCCTGCCTCGCTAGAATCAATCAGTCCAAATTGAAAACCAGCCGAGGCAGTAGTCGAGCCAAGTAGGTAAGCAGAGGTCATTATTCTGCCTCTGACTGTGACTGCACCTTGCACAAACTGGATGAGTCTGAAATTGGTAGCAGCGTTACCTAGGCTTGTTCAACCCATGCAAATATAATCTCCCACCGGAGAAAGTGAATCAAGCACTTCGTATGAATGTACGTACTCGGCAAGCGCCTTTTACATGCAAACTGGAGCAAAGTGCTCGACTACATACAGCTCTGCTGGCTAAGTCGAGACGACGGCAATTCAGACAGTTTCACCGTTAGTGGGAGACGTCCTCCACATTCAACTATATATTAAATTATGAGAGATTTGTTTTGAGGCTGGCAATTCTTATCTGGCAGAACCCCGACATTTCGTCTTTTATTTACTTTGCAAATCAAAGTTTAGACCAGATTCGGAGATTCAATATCAACAAACTTTTTAGATGCCACTACCGATTTATTTAATATGAAACCACTTTCACAATACAATTTGAAAGAGATTTACTTATGTAACCGCTTCTTCAAAAATCTATCTTCCACATATTTGATTGGCGATTGTGTTTTTACGTTAATAATCAGTCGTACTTAAATACATAGTGCGTCACAACATCACGAATTAGAATCTTGTGCATACACATCTTACTAAGCGTCACTAAAAACAAACGAATATGCTTAAAAATAAGCGTCAATATGGTATGCACATGCAAGACGATTTGCATTCATAGCACGGAATGAATGAAGACTGATGAGTGACGTACCATAAAGCTTTATCTTTTTGTCCTTTGTTTCCACAATAATGATCTGTAAAATATTGACTCAAGTAATTCATCCAAATTTGCAAATATTTAAGTATTTGCGGTGAAATTTTAGTTAGGATTTTTACCACATAACCTCCCAAATCGACCATATTCTGTAAAAGAAGGAATATATTATTATTTAGTGTTATGCATAATAGGAAGAAATTGATAGATCGACTGGAAATATGATTTGTAACGACAAGAATATTTGTCTATTCATCATTATAGCAAAAAAAGTTCAATTTAGTTCCGTATATTTTTTCAAATGTCTGCAACCACATAATAACAACATGACAAACATATTCCAAAATTTTAAGAGCAAGATATATGTCTGCAGCAGAGAAATGTGTCTCATTAAGTCTCAACAACAGTACTCTTACTACAATGGAAATAATATATCTGCAATGACTTTTATATAAAATTACTGCTACTAAAATCTGTAATTAATTATTTGTCCATGAGTTTATTTGGTGATTAATAAATATCATTGACACGATATGGATTAACTTTACAAGTAATTTGTATGTGATGATTCAGAAACCAAGACATCTTTTCATACATTTCTCCGTAGTATTTTATCCACAGCCAAATTTTATCCGGTCCTTTTCCTTATTATTTCCACGTTTCTTACCGTTTGCAAAAGGGTCAAGTCCAGCACCTCGAATACATAACACGGGTCCAGGATGGTGTCCTCTGAAACTTAGCAGACAACCCTCGTCTGCACCAAATTCCTCCCCTCGGTTGAAATGGACAGCCACTGAAGGTGAACTTTGACTCTGCTTTCTCTCTCTCTTTCTCTCGTACACACTTATTTTTTGTGGTGCTGGTCGGTCGTCTCCCCGCTTTCTTTCTTCCTTTCCTAAGCCCCACGACGTCCCGGTCACGTCAACAACGCGGCGGTGAGAGCTTTAGTCGAGTTGGAAATGATGTGACAGTAACAGCACGAATTACAATAATTCAGTCGAAAAGTCAGAGCTACTCGTACCTGGCAGCAGTTAAACATTATTCTGGAGAAAGCAGATATAGTTTCACAATTTCCTCAATACATATTCGCATACACAGCGCAATTATGTATCTACAACCGGAAAGAAGGGAAGAGCTTGTCTGGGGAGATTTTCATTCTATTCCTATTTCTGCCCTGCTACTCTGGTGGAACTTTTAGCTTCAGGGCTCTTCATAACGGACAAAGCTTTCTCTCATTACGTATTCTACATATCCTCCTCGTGTACGTATCCATGTACTTTCTCCTTCGAGATGATTTTACTTAGCCACCACGGGCGGTCGTAAACATAGCGGTGATATGGTTTACGTCCTTAGTCGGAGCATGTCTCTCATTCTAGTTGGTCATTTCAAATCTTCAAAATCACCTGGACATAAATGTTTAAGAATTAATAAGACGAGGCCCGACCACACCGAGAGTGACTCCTTTGTCTTTTCCGCACAGATGCTGCTGCAGTATCCACTAAATATATAAGGAATGGTGTCAATCTATGACCCATAAAGCGTAGTCCCTGCGGAACGTTCAATAATTTAACCCGTGATTTATTATATGATTTTCAGTGTCCCATTACTCTTAACACTTGCTTCCGTTTAACTTATTTCTTGCCTAAAACTGCCCACTTGGATCTTGGAAAGTTTCTTTTGCGACATTCTCCCCTGTTCGCAACAGTTCAGCTCACTCGTGAAGACCACATTAAAGTTAAAGCCGCATTTTGTTTAATGTGGCAAATACAAGTGTGTCGAGAGGGAAGGAAGAAGGGAAAATTTTAGAGAGAATATTTCGTTAAACTTTCTCATTAAATTACACTACTTGCTCTCTCGGTCTTTTCCGGTGGGACTGTTGTGTGGGACTTTGTGTCCACTCAACTCATGCACACGGTGCTCTGTACTGCTGATGCTGCTGGTTAGTGTGCGGTGAGTTTGTGGCTTATGACTATTAGTCAGAGTTGAAGTAAAACTTTGGGATTTATTTCTAGTTCATTCCCTTTGCTCTTGCCATAACCAAATGTTGCACGGGTTGATCAATATGCTGCCACTGATGTCAGTGATGATTGTCAGACATTGATGATAAGGGAAAGTTGCTGGTGGTGAAAATCTAGAGTATATGAAGCATGATTCCTTCCACCACCACCACCATGCCACCGCTTAATCCAACTATTAACTTTTTTTCAAACTTGATCTCGCTCCGTTTTGCTATTCTGTCACAGCCTCATCACCACCACGACCATCACCCTTCACTCTAAATCAGCAGCTTAAGGAAGACACAACACACGGCACAACCTTCCACATGCAGTGCTTCACTTCTTTCACACCGTCGAGTGAGTGCTTTCACTTTCAAGATGCAAAATCCAAACAGTGGTGTCTCGGTTGTTGAGTCTGCTTCGAGCCCAACTTTAAATGTATTCAATAAAACTTTTAGAATGTGAAAGTTGGAATCTGGAAACCCAATTTCAGCAGTTTAATGCCAAATCCGTATATCTTATCTTTTCCCATTCATCCTTGTAATTTGACGCATTTGCAGTTTTCCTCTGTGCTAGGAATCGATGAAATCCAGCCATCCTCTTGAGCGAGTGTAATAGCAATAATAGAAATGGGTTGGAAGAAATTATAAATATTTCAACAAGTTCCTATCCACTCACGCCTATGTCATATGCAAATCATCAACTCGGTGGTCCGTGATAAAAATGTATATTTAGCTCCTCAACCCAACCCTTCGAAAGCGGATAAAAATCATCCGAGAACTTTTGTTTTAAAATTATTATTTTTAAGTTAGTCTGTAATCCGAGGATTGCTCAGCTTGACGCCGGATCCATTTTGTAGCACGTCTTCTGCAGCACATGCATAGCGTTCTTCACACAAATACCTACATGAATTTATGTAATCTGTTTGCTTTTCAGCACCACCAATGGTGTATCGTATTATAATGCTACACACGGATTCTTGCTGCTTGAAGATTATTGATTTCTTATTAAGCCTTCATGCTGCTTTAGAACGATGTGTAGTTCACTTTAGTGTTATTGCACTATTGACAAAAACAGCGGCCTGGCTCTCATGCAAAGACGGTGAGAACATGTCATTCCGAAACTCGAGCAAACAATCTTCTCAGGGGGAATTGTTAAGACGGTTTATTTGCCATAATCACTGCATGACGTGAGAAACGACGGAAAGGAGACCAAGTAAGTCGTATGTAGATAGATATTTAAGAAGGTTATGATGGAGACAACTAAGCTGGCCGACCCGACTAAGCGATAATTTTGTGGCTGTTTTGGCTGGATGGCGATGATCAGAGAAAAAGAAGAGATTACAGACTTTGCCTTTGTACGAGTTTCTTCAAAAGATCGTATTCAACAGTTTTCATTATCGATTGAGTCGGATGCACAAGCGAAGATGAGATTCAATTTATTTTCCTTTCCAAAGATTTCCTCTTTGGTTATCCAAAGTTTGTTCAGCAGACGACTACAACAGCCTTGAGTCCGACGACTTTACGTCCCTTCCCCCCAGCGGTCCTCAGTCCATTCTCGCCCTGGTTGCTACAACTTTGAATTCCTGCTGCTTGTGACTGAAGCTCAGATTTTTCTTGAACCATGATTGGATTAGTTTCACTTTCAAATTCGTCATCCATGGACTCACAGGAGTAGTTGAGGAAGAAGGAGCGGCATGTGCAGATTGTGAGGATGAAACAAAGACTCAGAGTCAGACCAAGAACGGCTGCCATGAAAAATATCCAGGTATTCGACCATGTCACAAAATGCACAGGAGTTGAGGTGATCACAGACATGGTTTTCAAGTCCCCTGCTGATGATTTTGATGACGACGATGATGAAGGAGAATCATCATCTTGACGTTAACAACTCTGTGTAGTAAAATTATTGATTGTGCGTTCTCTGATTCTGAGTGGTGGTCCCCAAATATTAAGTACTTGGTTGTGTACAGTTTGTTTAGAGTCCTTACTTTTTAACGTACAAAATTGCTGTGATCAATGTTACACTATGTTCTCAAGTCTCACGAATTGGCTCAATTTACTCCTCTAAAGTCGTCGTTTTTCGTCACTTCACAACCACCAATTAGATTTGATTGTCTGGTTTACAAGGACACGCATCTGCATGCTTGTCACACAACAGAGATCTTGACACCTGTGGTAATAAGGACAATCGGAATGGCAGAGGTGATAAGGAAACTACATGGCCGAGTTGTGCAGAAAGTTGAATAATTGATGCCGTGGGGGAATGAGAGAGCGACAACTGCAGCCGAGATGCGAGACAGGATGGGACTAAATGGAAGGAGAAAGATGTACGAGAGATGATGTAGGCCGGCATGCTTTCACGGGTCCTGATTCAACTCCTTCAGTCAGACAGACCCACCAACCAACCCGAGAACACATCCATATACATAGCACCACCAAGAGCAGCAGCAGCATCAGGAGGACCAGCAAAGGCAAGGCGAGAAAAAGTTGGTTCTTCGTGTTGAGCTCCACGCGGCTGGGGTTGTGATATTCTGCTGGATGTGGATCTTTCACTTTCACCATCATCATCATCCTCCTGCCCTGAATCTCCCTCACCCACCCGCACTCTACTCCTCGGCCCAACCAGAATGTCACTGAACGGGGCATACACAAATTGTCAGGGAGTTGCAAGGTGGGAGACAAGTGGATACATTTCTCGCCTATGTGCGTGGATCTCTCTCACCCGCTCCTCCAACGTGCAGCCAGCCAGCTACAACCCGCGAGAGCAATCGTTGAGCATTTGGAGAAAAGGATGAGAGAGAGATGCTGGAGAAAGCAGTCGGATCGACTCGGCTGCACATGTATGTACCACCATTACGGACAATGTTGAGACTTGGCTGAGGTTATGAGAGGACTGGGGCTGGGGGTATAGGACTCTCTGCCACCACCGCTCGTGGATGCAGTGTATAGTTGGGAAGTGTGGAACCTAGCAGCAGCAGGAGCAGAAGGAGTGAGGCTGCTGATCGATAGCTACATCCCAACCTTTCCTTGCGAGCTTACACTTTCTCTCCTCCATCCAAACTTCCTCGTCTTTGGCACATTCAGCAGCCGCCTCTGATCTAACCCAAGTTTGGTTGGGAATATTTGGGATTTGTTCAGTCCACACTCTTCTACTCCCTTCATATCCCATATTCTTCCTCCGCACAAGAAGGAGGACGAGGAGCAAGGAGGAGGACAAGAAAAAAATTCACCATTTCCACAACCGACCGAGTTCCGAAATTCATCTTGACCTCCCAGATATGTTTATCTAGGCTACATTACACAAACAGCGTTTTCCCACCGAGGGACAAATATGTATAATATTAAGCAGCTCGCTGTAAGTAATGACCAAATACATATGTGTGCTGTTAAACCTCGTCATGAGCTTCATCTTATCTTTCGGCTCCTTTCTCCCCTCCCATCGGTTTAAATATTGAGGTTTTACTTATGCACGTTAGAATTTGCAAGTTGAAAGAGTGAACATTAGAAAATGAAAATGGTCCACTAGAGAAAAAGTGGTGCATGAGTACACAGAATCAGAATGACAATGTTGTACGTCTGGAGCTTGTTGGTTACTGCGTGGGGAGAAAACCTGGATGAGAGAAAGCAGGAAGGATTGGATGATAGATCCATAGGTTTTCGGTTTCCTTATTCCATCGCAGTCTGGGGTCTCTTGTCTTACTTCCAATTGGGTTACTTTTCCTCGTCGTCGTGGTAGTGCGGTGGTCTAGTCTCGTTGCCTGATCTACACACACACGGTTTCCGAGTAGTTGGAGAGAGCAGAATTCTTTTATGTATTTGGAAGAGAAGAAAACACCGTTGCGTTGCTGAGTTGGTTTCGCTTTGGAGGAAAACTCTTTACTTTGGATGATCGCTTTCTTTGCTTGTGGATAGATTACCTTCGTTTCCGTTGTTTGTACTTTGCGGTCCAAGAAGTAAAAGCGGAATAGCAAGCCGTTCCTTGTTGTTGGTGGTGCACGTACATTCATCCGTGTATTTCAAATTGGTGGAGTTGAGAGAGTGCAAAAATAACGATGAGTTTTATCTACCCTTTTAGTCTACTCACGGCGAAAAAAAACGGGCGAAACGTTGCTAGAAGTATGGCAGAGAGAGAGAGAGAAAGTTGGCCGAACTTCGAGTTGGACGGAGTACATTTAACATTGACACGAGAAGATTGATAGATTGACTACTTCTGTTGCCAGACTTCAACTCAAATTCTTCTGATTCCTGTTCACGCGCTTTCTCTTTGTCTGCGGATTTCGATTAACACTTGTTCTAAAGTATTTTTTATACTGTTTCACCGCGAATCAGGATTTCAGTGCGGTTTCAATTCATTCCGTTTAGTTTAATCGTTGGATATTCCCACGATATTTATTCCCGTTCTGGTTTAAGTAGTTTAAGTGCATCCATGCTAAATAATCTCCATAATAAATAAATGTAGTTTGGTAGATTTAACGAAAACCCAAATTTATACCACTTATGAGGAATTTATGAAAAAATCTTATTGAGCCACCATATTGGCAAAATTATTCGATCGGTTGGAATCATGGGCTCAGGTGTGGAGCTGAGGTCCACCTCCAACATCATGAGTGATGGCAGTTTAATCTGCCATGAGTGGTTGCAGACGCTCATGCCCGTGATCATACGATTGAATTGAGTGGGTAGGAATAATGCCCTCAGAATAAAAGAGAAAGTTGATCACTATCGCGGAATTGAATTCAGTTACTCTCTGTAATGACATTACACCGACGACTGGTCTGCGTTGGTCCTTTCTGACGACCAAGGAACACGTGCTGATAAAGAGACGCTTTGTCCAATGGATGGTGTAAGAAGAACAGCGCCAGTTGAAGTCTTTATACCAAGTCGGCTCCTAGCTTTTTGAACTGCGATCTTTCTCTCTCGAAAATACTGCATGTCAACCGAATGGGAAGGACCGATTGAAGTGAATACCAATGACATGAAGTCGCCGAGTAGCAATATTATTGAGCAACACGAACCACACACTCACTGTAAATAACATGAACAGGAATAACTGAACCAATATCTGACCAATACTGTATCGATACATATTTATCGTCTTTTCAGCATATCTCCAGAATGTATAAAATTACACTAATGGCAATCCTTGTATAATTTTCTACCCGATTATGATGAAAATTCGAGGTAAGATTGAGTGCGGCAATTGGGAATTTTCTCCGCACAACAGCCACCTCGTTTTCCTCTGCTCAAGGTGGAAATGATTGAGAGCTGCACGTGCTGCGGGATATGAGTGATGCTGCTGTCGAGCCGAGTAGTATTGGACTCTCGTTTTGTTACCGACTACCCTCTCCTGTCCAATTCCATCCGAGAAGGCTTCCACAACTTGACAGATACAAATGTGACAAGAGTTGTAAGAAGAATACGGCGGAAAATGAAGCAAAGGAGGGAGGTGGGCGAGGGTGTATAAATCGAGGTCATTTATTATGACAGTACATGAAGCGATCTGTTCATCATGTAAGTAAGTAGACCCCCAAAGTTCACATTCCCAAATACCATCGCCGACCTATGAATACACTTGTTTACCTATTTATTCGCAGTGAGACTTGCACATTGCAAATCACACCTAGTGCAAAAAAATAAGTAATTCCTGACCACTTTCACTCTGGTTGTTCATCTAGTGGAATGGCTATAAATAGTTCGAAACGACTTTATGCGAGCAAAGCACAAAACAAGTCAATGTGCAAGTAATTAAATCTAATTCCACCGCAAGACCACAAATGAAGGAATCAACGTTGGCAGAATCTATTAAGATGAAGATCGCAGATCAAGATGAGGCGTTTCTACCATTCCTCTCACTTAGTCCTATAAACTTCCATTGACATGTGCACATCACGAAAGAGCCAAGAATTGCTGAGTGAGTCTGGTTTGCGGTGAGACGAAATTTCGCCTGCCTTGGAATATCATGGACAGAGTTTTTCCCACTCCAATATTCAGACCAGTTGTCTCCTTCTTGGCTTCAACCCTTGATGATCAACATTGAAGAGATAGCTCGGAATCAGGACTCGCTTCCTCTCCCTTCATATCATATATATTATGGTGCGTCTTTATACTGGACCACATTTCCAGCGACATAATGATTGATGAGAGGGGGGCATGATGATGATTACCACTCCATCAATACTTGATCAAATTTCGTTTCCACCGAGTCCCTTTGATGTTGTACACTCTCCTCAATGTGGTCTAAACTGCGAATGCTAAATGCGTCTATTGACTTTCCCATTAATACCACTGGCAGTCGGGGGCACAAAGTTCACAAGTGGCTTTTATGCAGGATAATGTTAAATACCAAACCGCGCATAATAATTGATCACTCAACATAGAACGTAACAGGGGAATATTTAAACACGAGTCGAGTTTTAATAGGGTAAACATGTCAACTTATCTGCATTAGCGAGGCAAAAAGTGTGACTCAACTATTGGATTCAGTGCATCTTTTACGGTCACTCTGTTAGCACTCATATGATTTAAAATTGACTAACAGTCATTGAGAAATTACATAGAAATACGATAAAAATGAAATATTTGTTTTTTCATAAAATTCGGTTTAACATAAAACAACGCATTAGCTCTTTCAAAGTTATTGTGTTTACGCCCCAAAGATCAAAGAGAAAGGATTAGATACAACACGATAGGGTAAAAGTTGTTCCACTCCACTCAATTGCTCTACAACTCGTACTTTTCACATCTCAACATTCAAGAAACTCTCCTCGTTAGAGTAATAATATTCCACCAGGCAACTAGTAGTGTAGTGGAGAGCTCTACATAAAAATAGCACTATATTTTCTAGGCTAGTTGATCCCAAACTGTTTTTTTTGTTTCTGGACGAGATATGCACAAATGTACATAGAATTTGTGCGTATGCATGTAACATGTTCTTGGATTGACGTAATTTTCAGTTATTGCATGCACGCTCAAGTCAGAGCGAATCAATTTGGGAGTGAAAGGTGTTTCATTTATTAGAGTTGACTCCCAAGGCAGAAGTTTGTTGGTGGGTATTTCCTTCCGACGGAACAAGTCGTTGGTTTGGTGGAGAAGCAACAATATTTGTTGGCTGGATGTGAGGTTTTCCTCAAATTAGCAGTGACAGAGAGGGGAGCGTCAGGTGGCCTATTTTTATGTCTGTATCTAATCTCATCTGCAAGCAGCAACTTTACCCCGCAGTGCCATTCCTATTATCTCACATCCTTTGTCCCAGTTAGTTCTAAATACGAGGAGCAGTC